CCATGTGTTGACTTTTTTTTACGAATAAGATTTATGTTTCTCTTTTATTGCGGTATAAATCGCATCTGTATTACTACAAAATGTTATACGACGTTGTTATACTCTCGTTACTTTCAACATCAATTTTTACAAAAAAATTTTATCCAACAAAAAGGTAACACTTTTTGTAACATTTGTGTGTAACGACGAGTATAACTGTCGTAATAAAATCCATCTCGCGGTATGTCTGCTGTAACCGTCGAAAGCGATTCATTTCCACTGTGCGAATACCGGATAAAAACCTGTTAAAATCCTTCTATTCTTCATTTCTCTCTTTGGAGTCAAACGAGTCAAACGAGTCGGATAAAGCATTCGACTTTTATTTTTATCGTTTTATCGCGAGTTTTATCTGTGCGTGAGTTTCCTCTTCTCTCTCCTGCTCCGAGCACTAACAGCCTGCACCGCGTGCAACAAACTGCAGTGCAAGTGCATCCAGATAGCTGCATCGTCGTTGCACGTTGCGGCACGATCGACCGCACACGTGTCATTTAGAGTATCCTCCACCACCCACTTGCGTGTTCCTATCACCCAGGTCGTGGGTGGTTATAGGAATGACGTCGTCCTATCGTGACGCCGCGACCATGCACCAATTACCGTCGCGTAATCCTTTGGGGATCGCCTCTTTGAATACCGCAGGCTTGCGTGAATGATCCCCTTTTTTTTCTTGTAAGTTATGGAAAAACCTGAAGTCTGCTGACCTCGTTTGTTGCATCTGTACTCGTTTTGCTGTTATCATAATTCATGAACCGTATACCTAGAACTAGAAGAAACGGTGAGATAAAATCAAGGTCCCGTTGTTCTTTTATTTTTCTCCAGTGTGAGTACTGCAAGCTTTAAATTAGGGCTCAGACAAAAGATTCGAACATGTTGAATATTCGATCTATTCGAATAGTTCAAAGTTGAAAAAAAATGAGCATCTAATTCGAATATTTCGGACAGTTCGAAAAGTTCGAGCTTAAGCAGTGATCAGTATGAATTGTCAATTCGTTATGTCCGAAGATTCGGACGGTACGGACAGTAAACAAATATAGTATGCCTTGGAAATAAAAGATCAGTTTTTCACGAATATTTTCACGTTTTGTTTTATAAAATTAAAAATCGATTTTATTTATTTTTGCAATTTCTTATAGTTTAATATTTTAAAGTGCACTTAAAAGCCGTTGTGCACAAGCCGACGTAAAGATTTACTTGCACAATTAGCATATTAGTTTATTAGAAATAATTTTTTTCGTTTTTACTACACTCGAACGTCTTTTTTACATAAAAAAAATTTTTCGATTTTTTTAACCCATCATATTAGGAAAGTTATTACACATGTGTAATAACGTCACAATATATATAACTGACTGTAATTGAATATGCATATTAAATTTAAATTAAATTCCTATATTTATTGATATCGCCCTACAAATATCCTGAGTCATCCTGGACATATTCAGGTTGATCCTGAGGACAACTTGTGATGTCTGAGTTCGAAATATAATAAATTCGAACTTTCTCTCAGCTCTGAAGTAGGTTAAAATAGTTCGAACATACATTCAGTACGAACTATTTAACGTTCGAACTTGAGATTCGAACTGTCAAATCGTCTGATGTTTCCGAGCACTACTTTAAATCATTTAAGTAAAGAATCGCAAACCGAAAATAATAACGGCCTAAAAGATTCTTGAGAGTAAAAAATATCTAAATATATAAAAATTCTCTAAAGATGAGGGAAATTTTTTAAAATATTTTTACAAAGAGAAAATTCTTTCTCTTCGAGTTAAATTAGTGTGTTCCGAAACGGGTTTTGGCGATAAGTTCTATTTTTGAAAATTTTTACGGTAACCTTAACTTTAAAGTGATCCTAAAATGAAGCTCGGACTCCGACGAAGTCACCAGAGGTCGCTGTTTTTCCAGCGCACCTACATATCTTTATATACTACCACATCAATATCTCAACCTATGATACACGCAGTCGCACGTTCGTGTCAATTTTCGTACAATAAATTCATCGCGATAAAGCGTCTAAGTCTAATTCTAAGAACTCGACGTTATTTGTTCTTGCAAACTACGTGTTTGTGGATTACTATTTCGTAAGTACAGTTTGCAAAACTTTCGTATCAAGTCAATGTTGTCACGACTTGACAGCTTGAGACGCCATGTTACACTAATAGCGAATTCGATTGGACGCACTCAGTGCGCACTGGTGCACATTAAAACTGTTGTACACAAAATAACGAAAATATGTTTATAAATAAACATAGAAATCGATTAAATCGTAAAATACTCAATACATTTTATTGTACTCTTAGGTAAAATATAATATGTATTTCATAATTCGAAATATTTGCATTTCATTTTTATACTCAAAAATATATCAATATCGAAATTTTTAGTCATTCTCGGCATAAACTTTACCTCACAAACACGTATTAATGCGTATACTTTAATCCTGAAAAAGGATTTTCGAATCTGTGAAAGAGAAAAAAAATATTTGTTATATAAAAATTATATGATTTAGTCGGTAATACAGATGGCTTTAGGATTCCTTTAAAGTCCGCAACTTGACGGAGAATTAGAATTATTGTTCGAATACATTTACATGATTTATTTGCGCGTGAATTTTTTAATAAAAAAAGTCATTTTACTATTACAATTATTTGCATTTATTTAATTGGCTTTAACGGTTATCGACGGCGAGCTGATTCTATTTTGGTTTTCCAATTGTGTCGTTTGTGATCGTAACGAGCAACGCCGAGATCGGTGCAATGACGAGGTACCTTTGAACCTGGAAGCCCGCCAACTTCCTCGAGGGCAAGGACAAAGCCGGCCAATAGATTACACCGCCATCCGTTACATTGCCACTGGTGTACTCGTAATAACAGGCCGTGTTAGTCATTGCATTGTTATTATTTTCATTTTCCGCCTCGTCCCTTTAACGATATATCTATTTTGTAAATAATGCGTCTCGCCCACACAGAAATTCGAGATCGATTTGCACCTCGATGCGGTTATTCCAGACAGATCCGAAACCACAAATTAGTGACTTGATTCTGATCGTATTTCGGAAGTGTTTTCCCAAGATGCAGCTTGTCTATGTTCACATCAGACGATACGAATCTCGCGGTTTTCTGCGTCACAGATCCAGGCCTCTTGGGAATTCTCTGCGGTTTGCGAGGGTGGTCGTTACGAACTTACACCTCCCACTGGGATAGTTATTGGTCGGTTGAATCGTGCGTGTCCGACGTCTATATTTGATTTAATTGTTGACCCTGATGTGTCTCTATATAATTCGCAAATCGCAAAACGTAGTTCATGCTGAGCAAATGCTGAAACAGAATGATGATCATCGCACGCAAAACACACACAGATGAAAACTAACTGTATGCGATGAAAAAACGGAAATATTCATTCTGTCTCTGCATTTGCGAACTTCGTTTTGCGACTCGCGAGTTATGTAAAAGCACTTTAATACTTGAACATCAACTGTTTCCATTTGCAATATCGTAGGATTATTTTTTTAATCTCGAATACGTAATGCGGGGTCTACAATAAAAGTCGTAGCGATCGTAAGTCCGTATTCATAGTCGTAGATCGATCCACGATTGATCTCCATTTTAGGCGAGCTAGGTTTGAATCAATCAGATGTATCAAATGAAAGACTGATTCAAACTTAGCTCAAATCGAATCTCAAGTTGAATCACGACTATAAATACGACCCGTAGAGTCTTAAGTCGTAGAAAATTAACCAATCACAGTCGAATATGAAAAGAATAATTGACTATGATTAGTCAATTTTCTACGACTTAAGATTAGGATCTACGACCGCTACAACTTCTATTGTAGACCCTGTATAAGAGAGATCTTTGAGATCTCACTAATATATATCTATATTTTTTTTTTCATTTTCTATATCTTTGATCGATCTTTTTTAGATAATTTTTAGAAGAAGGCTATCTTTTTTTCGAGTATTTAATTTAAAAATATTCAATTTAACCCTTACTTAAGATAAGAAAGTCACTAAAGTGGCGCTGTAACAGTGTTACATTTTGAGGCAAGGGGAATGTAATAAAATAATGAGTTATAATAAATCTTGCTCAAGAAAAAGTTCTGTAAGGTTGTGAAAATAGATCCCCACCTCTAAAGGTTAAAGTAATTTTTTTATTATTAGTTTTTGCGAATTCTGATTAAGAAGCTCTGCCATTGAGAATTAAAATTAATATGCTCTTTTTACAATAAGCATTACCTAAACTTAAGTCTTAAGCCGTAAAAAATTGACCAATCACAATCGAATGTGAGAAGAATAATCGATTATGATTAGTCAATTTCTTACGGCTTGAGAGTTAAACTTAGGTAATGGCTTTTAAAAAGCCCATAATGTTCACTTCAATAAATGTTAAGATCGAAAAAACTGAAAGGAGAAAAAAGGAACGTACATCATAAAAGGATTCAAATATTTGATATTTTAATATTAAGCATTTTTCTCTTCGTTTCTAGAAGAGCATCGGGAACTTCATTCCTCCTCCATCCTTCTCGAATCTTCACCTAAAAAGTCTCATTAAAATGCTCTTTTATCTCACTCTAACGGTAATTCGCGGCGGGAAACGCATCTCTGTTTCTTGACCTGCCCGCACCCAGTCCGACCAGCTGATCATTTGTCCTGGTCGCGCCGGCCACGTCGGCGTTGAGGGAGTCAGCCGAAGAGGATAGACGAGAACGAACGAACGAACGAACGAACAAACGTCGACGACGACGACGATGACGACGACGACGGAGCCGCGTCGCGTCTGCGCGTCCCGACGCCATCGTCGGTGGGTCGGTCGGTCGGTCGGTCGGGGGTATTGATTTTCCACGTCGTCATGTGTGAGTGTGCAGTCGCGCGCACACGCGCTGACCGCACACATACACGTATACAGTATACACACGTAAATTCACACATACATTTGCCGCAACGACCGGTACACCGCGGCGCGGCTGCCAATCCGCCCGCGGAATTCCGCAAAGTCTCTCCCCGGCGTCGTCGTCGAATGGTACCCTCCAGACTACCCCGTCGTCACCTCGCGAGGGCTTCCATTCGTGATCTCGTTCGAGAAAGGTGACGTTATCTCGAGTTCGCTGATTCATTTGTTCGTTCATTCGTTACCGGTTTCGCCGTCGCGCGGTCTCCGAAGGAGAAAAGTTCTAAGTGCTCCGACGTGACGTTGTCACTCCCACCCTGCTCCTCATCGTCCCCGAGGGGAGAGGATGGTCTCTGGGTAGACGTGACTCCACGAGGACGGCGTTTCCATTTTGCCAGGTCTTGGCGAACGTCACGTCCGGTACCGCGCACCGCGTATTCACGTAGGGATACAAACTTCTTCGTGCAACCGCGCGTCGTCCTCTCCTCGCGGAACTGACCGAGGTCTGATCTCGTGTTCGTTGGTTGCGTGTTGCAGGCTGCGGTAAGCGATTCGCCGTTCCGGTCTCGGCGAACAACCAGAAAGCGGCGTCGCACCGTCGCCGGTATCCTGAGGCGCCGGTAGGCGGGAAGGCAGATTCGCCGAGAAGAAGAGGAAGACCGTCGCCTGGCATCTAGTCCCCTGTCAGGTCTGTGACCAGAACACCAGCCGGCGATGCCTGCACCGACGTCAGCGGCGGGTGCGGCCGAGGGCGGCCCGCCCCGCACCGAACTGCAGGAGTTACAGCTCAAGGCCGGTCAGACTACGGATGAAGTGAGTTGAGATATATTGATATACATGTATGTATACATGTACATGTATGTGTATATTTTATGTCCGTATATATATTCACGCGATGTGACAGCCACGAGGATTTACGACGCGGGGATTGAAATCAACGTAGTTTCGCTGAAACTTCGAGTTCCGATTTTAATCGCGCGAGGATAAACTCTCGTGTTTGTCCGCGACAATAGAAAGGCGACAAATCACCGTAAAATCCTCTCCCGCGTATCTGCGCTGTCGGAAACTTACCGAATAGAAACATCTCGTGGATCTTTCGCAATTTTCATGCGTTATTAAGCGTTTTGAATCGACTTGTTTGTCTATGTATAATTAATTCAGGATAGATAAAAGCAGCAATTTATTCACGAAGTCATTATTGCATGTCTTATTCATATTTCTCTAAAAGTAATCAATATTATTCTTAATTCGAAGAATCCTTTAATCTTGATAATTTTTAAGAACTAATTTACATAACTAATTTATTAATAACACAATGAAGTCGATTTTTTCGAATAAATTGTATTTAAAAAAAAAATGATTGCTATTATTATAATTGAACTATAATTTATAGACCTTTTCGGTGCCAACTGTATATTTTTTGATAGAATTGCAAATATGATTATTATTCTTAACATTTTAATAGTAATAAAAATAAAACTCCTATAGCCACAATTATATTACCATTCAATTAAAGTCACAAATATCAAACACTTTTCTCTCAATGTACATTTTTATAGCATAAAATTACTGTTGTGTTGGAATTCAAAAGAGAGAAATCGTACTTCTTCTCTCTAAATCTGAATCAGTGGATAGTCACTAATTACCCAAATACTTAGCACTGGATAATCAGTGAAATTCAACTAAAAAAGGAAGAATGTTTGAGCATTATATAACTAAAATACTGATATTTGCACGTTAATTTCGATCTTCCAATACCATATTTATTGAATTTATGCACTAAAACAAAGTTAGTTAGATCACATAATAAAGATTAGCTAAGTTAGGAATCTCACATTTGATTCAATTACCAGTGGCATACTTGGCACTGGTATCAGTGATTATTCACTGATTCAGATTTAGGGGGTGCCTTTTCTTAAAAAATAATCTAGCGTGAGAAAATGTATCAGGGCCAAGATAGAATAGCAAAGTTGTAGCTCTTCTGGAACAATTAAAATTTTAAAACACATTTGGGATTCCTCGGGGTCACACGTGTGGTAACCGGCGTGATCGACTTTGTTTCAGTCTCTGGAGAGCACGAGGCGTATGCTGGCGCTATGCGAGGAGGTGAGTCTATCCCTTTCGGCATTTGTTCCTTCCTTTTACTTGCGCATCGACCCCTCGATCCTCTCTCGACCGTCCTCGAGAATCCCGTGTCGGTGCACCATCCCCATATTCTTCCGTGAATCAAATCCCGTGTAGCGACCCTCCCGCAACCCTCTTTCGTTTAGTCCCCCGTAATCTCCTCAAAACCCTCGAACAACCCCGAACCTCCTCCTGTCTCTGTCTCGTAAACTAGGAATGATTTTTATCGACGAATCGTTATACGCGCTACTGCAGCAAGACGGGCGCCACTGCTCGCTTGGAGTTCCACCTCGAACTGCTTTGAATTAAAAAGAGAGAAACAGAAAATGAAAATGGCAGCAAAGAGAAAAAGGAGTCGCGCCAGAGAGAGGTGGGCAAAGTACTATTTCGATTAACCGGTCAAGTGGCGAGTACCTCGATCCCGATCGATTCGATTCACATAATTCGCATTGTCGAGGTCTGGCTAATAGACCGTGAAGTAGACGTGAAGTAATATCAAGTACGAAGCGGTTGAACACGTATAGCCTCGACCGATTAAATTTGATTCGAGAAGACCGACTAGGCATATGAATCTCTTTTCAAATTAAATTTTTACTCCTTGACACTTTAAAAGATGGCGGTGTGAATTTAACATGCGGTATCTGTATAATTCTCACTGGTGTGAAGCCAAAGCAATCTAGTCTTCTTTGGTGTTAACATTAATATTATGGGTTTTAAAAGGAATTTAAGATCCACAACATGTTTGGTGTTAATATTAATAGTTAATTAATAATTAACATACATGGTGGATATTAAATAATCCACACCGATATTTTTTATAGTGGAGGCTTCTATACTAATTTAGTTTATCCGACTGCGAATGACCAAGTCTCGTGTATCTCGTCCTTCTTATTATTTTGATCGCAGTTTCGTTAATAATAGATAATTGACGTACTGACGAACGCCACTTGACTGGTTAAGCGTTGTTCTTAGCGGGCGCGCCGGTTCCGCTTTGCACAAGATTCACGTCGGCGAGACAACCTCCTGCGGGATCTCCAAGTCGTGGGTGGAGGAGAGGAAAGCTTCGTGGGGGCTGTACAGAGGGATAGACGTGGGGAAGGACGTATTCGCAGGCGACGTCGAGGACGTGGGCAAAAACGTGCGATGTTTTCGAAGTAGTATTTTATCCAGCTCTGGCGTCACACACGGAGGCGACGATTCCGGCGGCGTGTTGCGGTTTGAGCGTATAAAGCAGAGAGGGTAAAGAGGATTCGTTTCGCGCGACGAACGAGTGGAGTGAGTGGGTTCGCTCCTCACAGGGGAAGGGAAAGGGGACAACGAACCCAGTGCCTGCGATCTTAGAATCGCGAGAAGAAAACTAAAACTAAAAATAATAATAATAATAATAATAATGAAAGAAAGAAAGGAAAATCGATCGGGGGAGAACGGAATGATCGCGCGAACGAGCGTTTGCTCGCGCGAGGAGAAATTTGTAAGACGACGCATCGACGCGCTCCGAGAGACGGCGAGGCGCTCCACGAACGTGCGCAAAAGACGGACTTTTCTCGTCCCTTTTGTCGAGTAAACTTTCGTAATTACAAGGGATGGTTCAGACTGGGACTCTGAAAGATACATCGTGAGTAATAATTGTACGTTGTGTACGGTGTTTCGCTAAGCTCTGAAAATATATATATGGTAGATATTGCGTCTTTCATTTATGACGATTTAGTGTAGAACAAAGGTACAAAGGGATACCACATAGAAGTAGTCATTTAGTTTAGTAATTGGGATAAAGATGCAAAGGAGTAGCACATAGAAATGTAGTCATTTATTTTAATAATTGAAGATAAACTATTCTCTAACGTTGTTAATAAATCTGGAGGATTTTTGAAAGATTGTAAGTATGAAAATATGGAAACTGAACCATCCTATGTATGTTCTTGTTCGTTTTCGATATATTTTTTATTATTTTCCAAGGTACTCCAAAACTGTCGCATTTCCCTTCAGTCATGGATTTTTTCCAAAAGAATCTCGTTCTTTGTTTAAAGAAACGAATACGAGGACAGGAGAGGAAAATAAAAATGACATTTTTTTTGTTAAACAGATTTTATTTTAATAAAAAAAACTTGCGATGTTCTCAAAATGGTTTACTGTTTCAAAATAGAAAGCTTACAATCAAAATTTTCCCAAGACAAAATCTATTAAATTATCAAAGAAGCTTAATTTATCAAAGAACTTTCTTGAATATCCGGTGACTTTAAAGTGCTGCATTGTATCGGATGTGCTAGAAAAAGCAATCTCAAAAGAATTTCGAGTTATTTATCTAAAGAGAAGAATACTCCAACTAAATTGCTTTCGTTTTGTAGTCGCTGTACATATTAGAGAAATGTTGAATAATTTTCAATTAAAATATCGATTTAATTTTTTTTTAATTATACGTAAAAGAATTCAAGGAAATATTGTTTAATACTCCGAACTAGATTGCTTTGACTTCATTTTATAGTCGCTGTATATAATAAGAGAAAGCTGGATAATTTTCAATTAAAATATTTATTTATTTTTTTCTAATTATACCATAGAAGAATTCAAGGAAGGACTGTTTAATAATATGCGGAAGAAAGCGCAGAACTCTTTCATCGAAATTTTTCGAGTTGAGGGGAATGTTACGCGACAAGAGAGTTAGATTTCGCTTCTCAAGTTTCGCATCGCTGTTGCGGAAGTGACGATGTATGAGTACCTTTTCGACTCTGCTCCGCCGAGTTTATATCGATCTAATGTTCCATTCGCGTGTGTTTACTCGCGTGTATTTTACAGTATTGCGTGCGTGCGTTCGCGCGTGTGCCACGACCGTGAAAAAAAAAACGATCTGTCTGCATTCTGCAGCTCTCCACGTTCTCTTTCCACGCATAATTATTCGCTGTCTATATGTCCGTACCTTCGATATCTGTTATACTATATTCTCGATACATATGTGTGTGCGCGTGTGTACATCTCTATATACACGAATGTACGCGTATATCTGTTTTTGTACATATTTACATACAGAGATGTTTGCTCTTCTTCTACTTTTAACTTACTATACTTGTCGAAGGAACGTACGCAACTGGCTTCCGTGATCTGATCCGTTTAATAATCGGATTATCGTTTCCGATAACGTTCGATCTTATTTCAGCATCGTATTTATCATTATTATTGACACTAATGGATAATTATCAGTGATTGGCTTTTCTGAATTAGAAAGAGTTCGGAGATTATTTTTTAATTCAATGGAACAACATATTGATTTTTTTTTTACAATCTCGTATCTCATTAATATTACATTTCGCTCGATTATTATCAACATAAATTTAGTACCTTTGAAGTAAAAGTATTTATATGATCTAAATTTTTCATAGTTTGCAATGCCATAATATTTAGAATAGTGTACAAAGAATAATTAAAGTTGGGCTCTTGAGATAAAAATTAAACAATAAATGAAAAAACATTTATTGGGCAATTAAGAGCCTAAATTTGCGAATAGTGTAATTACAATAGTGTACATGAAATTACACGATTCTATAGCAAACTTTTACGATTGCATAATATTAGGCAAATTTCAAACTCGCTGTAATTTCGTTCATTTTATTCGCGGCTTTCGCAAGAAATATTATAATACCGAGGCGAAAGAGGATATCCGCTTGAATTTCCTTCAAGTTTATGGACGGAGAAGATCCGTCGAGGTCCTTGCGTCGTTCCGTTTCAGTTTCTCTCGCTGCTACTTATCTACCTGTGGCTGCACTAATAAGCACTGTGTCGCATTCTTCCGAGCACCGAAGACGTCCTTCGAATCATCATCGACCAAGAGAAGCGTACGTACACACACTCACAATGCGCAATGCGTCATCATCGTCACCTCGTGACGCGTGATAACGATCGCGTGAACAGTCGATCGACCAGAAAGCGAATCGCAAACCGATAACACGAGCTTCTGTGAGGGAATGGGAGGAAACGGTTTCGTAAAATACCGGAGCTATGCGTGTTTCTTCTCGATGGGAGGAGAATCCCCCAAAAGTCTGACGCGAATTGCGAGAGAATTACGGCGACCAATCGGTCTTTATCTCCGCAAAGCTCGATCGTGATATTTTTTGTCACGGGGATCAACTCGCGGTACACCCGCATCTCTTTCGTAACTCCCATCAACGTAAGTTCCCTGCGCGATGGTGTGCGAGCGACGCTTTTTCGTTATCAATAGTTCGTACTTGTTATGAACGTTGATGTTACACGATTTTCTTGTAATGAAAATTTTCTCGAGGATAAAAAAATTATTTTAGAAAATGAAGAAAGCAAAACTTTTAATAAGAAAAGTTAACATGAAGGTTTGTTATTTTTATCTATAAAGTCTAGATACAAGTCTAAATACAATTCATAAAAATAAAGAAAAAATCACATTTAATGAAACTTGTTAATTTCAATATTTTTATACATGTTTTTCTTATTGATAACATATACGACAATTTCTTATTTATTTACTTCCATAAATTAAGCGGCAAATGCATTTTATTGTGAGACAATTTTCCGCTGACTAACTTCGATTAACCTATTATTCGCCGACAGAGATTTCCTAATGTTTATATTGATCCCGAAACGCTCTAAAACGTGTTAATTATTAACGCTAATATGATTTTACATGTAATATAGATGATTACACAGAACTAATGTGCAGGTTAATAAAGTATGATATAATAATAATTAATTATAGCACTAAATGATATTAGATACTAACAAGTATATTAATTATTACGAGATTAATATTTATTATAAAAATAATATTTATTATGGTTGCGAAAATAGCTCGGTGCTTTCGTCAATTAATTATGCTTGCACACCGTCGACGCAGACAGGCGTATATTTTTTCCTATTTTTTTTCTTCTCATTATCACGTATTTGCGAAGGGCAGTCCCTTCCTTTTCCTTGTATGTGTGTGCTTCTTTAATTGATATCGCGTACTACAATCGTTTAGTTAC